GGGAGATCTCATAGTTTGTATTTTTCCTGGTTTATGAAATTGATTTAAGTTAATTTTTGCGCTTGTGCATTTGTAAGATTATGTCAAGAAACCGGGACACTCCATTTGATCATGTCCACGTGGATATGAGTGTCCAGGTTTGTCAGTGTGCATGTAAACACAGTAACACGAACACTGACAGAACCAGGACATGGACAATAACCTGGACACTGATGGACATGTGACGCACTCACTGTGAAAAAAACATGGACTCACAAGGAAACTGGGAAGGTTTTACAAATGGAGACCATCACCACGGCGGGATTCATTTACTCCATCTGCACCACACAGACGCCCTCGTTACTGAACTCTGCACAATCAAACGTCTTTGTAACGTCGTGTGGAGGTCGGGGACAGTTCCTCTGGACCCGAGTGTTCGTCTGTTTCAGGAGAGCTTCCTGTACAGTCACACTCCTCCTCCCTGTGTGAGGACGTCTCTAACACAAAGAGTCAGGAGCTCAGATTAGAGCTGCTGTGTCTGGGGTGAGGGAGGTCTGGGAGTCCGAGCTCAGACTGGTGTCTTTCAGATTCAGGTTGTGGGTTTGATTCCCGCCTCAGGTCTGTGAGGAGTCTGACCTCCTCCAGACAAACGGTTTAAAGTTTCCTTGAGCCGTGCTCTTCGTCTCTCAGGTGTGTGTTGTTTCCTCAGAGGACTACGCCCGTCTGTGCAGCTCCGTGCAGTCTCCGGTCTACCCCGAACTTTTCCCAGACCCCGGGACCGGACCAGGGTCTAGAGCCGGACCAGGACCTGCCAGAGAAGGACCTCCAGGTGAACTCCTCTAACATCATCAACAATAATCAAAATGCATTTCACAGGTTTTTCATGTTTCTCATTCTGACTCTGCCGTGGTGAGAAGCACCTGTTCAATACTTCTGCTAAATATTTGTCTTAGTTTTGTGTCAGTTGAGTGAAAGTTTGTGGAAAAAAAGCTGAAGAGAAAAGTACAAAAACACAGGCAGAGTGCGCGTGCTTAATCCGTGTATCATTCGTTCATTCGTTTTTCAATGTAAAACCAAAAATAAGAAAACGAAAAAACAACAGTTTTCTTCATTATTTGTCTCCAAAACCAAAATGAAAAAACAGATAACGATTTGTTTTTTCAGTTTTCGATTTTGTGTTTAAATGAAGAATAGAAAAACGGATCACAGCCGTTTCCCATTTACGTGACGTCCGTGACTGCGATGCCGGACTTTTGCACCGCATACGAACTGAACCAGGACTGATCCAGGTCCGAGACCAGACCAGAACCAGAGCGGGACTGAGACCGGGACAGACCGGGACCAGACCAGGACCAGAGTGGACTCCGAGCTTTGACTCCGAGCCTCAGCTTTGAGCTCCGGTCCTGCCGTGGGCTCTGAGCCTCCGGTCTGGTCCTGGTCATTTCTCAGTCTCAGGCCCGCTCTGGTCCCGGTCTGGTCCCGGACCTGGTCCATTTGAACCAAAAGCTCTTAGTTCAGTTTGTTTTCGTTGGTGTGAAAGCGTCAGTTTGATGCTTTGCACCACCTCGGAACCAGCCGCGGTTCTGGAGCAGCCCGTCCGGACCTGTAGTCCACAGAACATTCTCGCTTTCCCCACACAGAACCAGCGCACAAACGATGACATGGAACCGCTCAGACCGCTGGTCTCGGTCTCAGTTCCGGTCTGTCCCGGTCTCAGTCCCGCTCTGGTTCTGGTCTGGTCTCGGACCTGGATCAGTCCTGGTTCAGTTCGTATGCGGTGCAAAAGTCCAGCATCGCAGTCACAGACGTCACGTAAACGGGAAACGGCCGTTATCCGTTTTTTTCAATTCTTCATTTAAACACAAAATCGAAAACTGAAAAAACAAAGAAAACTGTTCTTTTTTTCGTTTTCTTATTTTTGGTTTTATATTGAAAAACGAATGAACGAATGATACACGGATTGTGTGTGAGTGTGACCGTGTGTAACGCTGAATGTCTTCCCCAGTGCCGTACTTCCCTCCGTTCTCCTCGGAGCTCTACCCTCCGGCTCTGGACTATGACGACTCCAGAGGGCGCTATGACGACTCCGCTCCTGCGGGGGGCGGCAGAGGCGGGTACGACCCGGGCTACATCGGTTCTCCGTACGGGTGAGCCGCATGTTCATGTTCATGTTCATGTTCATGGGTTTGTACGTGGAGCGGTTTCATGTGGAGCAGACGCCGCGTTACACAAACACTGTATTCACTTTTAATCTTGACTCTAAATCCGTGTGTCATTCGTTCATTCGTTTTTCAAAATAAAACCAAAAATAAGAAAATGAAAATAAACAAAAAAAACAATGATTTTCTTCATTATTTGTCTCCAAAACCAAAATGAAAAAAAAAAAAAACCCAACAGATAATGTTTTGTTTTTTCCAGGTTTCGATTTTGTGTTTAAATGAAAAATGGAAAAAAACAGATAACGGACTGAACCAGGACTAAACCAGGACTGAACCGTTTTCAGTCCTGGTCTAGTCCTGGTCTGGTTCCGGTCTCAGTCCCGGTTTGGTCCTGGTCTGGTCCCAGGCTCAGTCTTGTCTCGGTCTCGGTCTCAGTCTCAGTTTCAGTCCTGGTCCTGTTCCTTGGCTCAATCTTGGTCTCAGTTCTGGTCTGGTCCCGGGTCTCAGTCTCAGCCCTGGTCCTGTCCATGTTCCTGGTCTGGTTCCGGTCTGGTCCCAGTGATGGTTTAGTCCTGGTTCAGTTCCGTCATCCTTTTTTTCCATTTTTCATTTAAACACAAAATTGAAAACTGAAAAAATGAATCATTATCTGTTTTTTCATTTTGGTTTTGGAGACAAATAATGAAGAAAACTGTTGTTTTTTTTCCGTTTTCTTATTTTTGGCTTTATTTTGAAAAACGAATTAAAGACTGACACGCGGGTTCTTCTAATTCTTCTTTTTCACAAGAGCCAAAAGAGCCGCGCTGGAGGTTTGTGGAACTTCCGGTTAATGGTTTTCAGTGTCAAAACTACAGAACAAATCTAACTTCATGGTCCCAGAGACACAAATCTCTCCGTCTGTGTTAATATCAACATCATGAAATGGATTTTTAATTTTAATTGTAGAATGAGTCTGAGTGAACAAATTCCTTCTGTTTTATTCATGATCATAAATGAGTTTAGTTTCTTGTGTGACGAATGTGGCTCGTTGTTTCCTTTAAAGGTTGTATGGAGGATTTATTTTTAGTTTCAAATTGTCAGTGAAAGTTTAAAATACCATTACAGAGACGCAGCAGCTTTGTAATTATGATGACCAAAAAAAAAAAGAATGAAAATCTATCAACTGTGGATGTGTTGAGGGCAGATAAACATCAGCTAATAGAAAACGAGGCTCCCTCATTTTCTATTGGCTGTTAGGTTGTCAATCAAACTCCCTACATTTCTAGTGTGACTGACTCGTCGGCGCGCGGGGATTACGCGGTTTATGCGGCGGTTTTTAGGTGCTTTTTTAAACTGTCGCTTCCTCGTAGTTCACACAAAGTTTGTCGAGACGGCGGACGAGAATCCACGACCAGTTCGCTACAAAAGAAAGTCCGTTTTTGAGGTCGCTGAAAGAAGAAGAGAAGGGGAAAAGGAGCGAAGCCAAACTGAGGTGGTTCTTGGAGATCTCTTCCAACGACTGTGCGAATAAAGCAGATGAAAAGTCTAAAAACTGATGCGTCGATCGCTAAATTATTTCTAGACAGGTCACTTCAACAGTAATTTTGAACACGCACTGGATGTAAACAAATGTGATTTCTAGAGTAAAGAGGCGGGAGGAGATGTTTCTACTGAGGAAGGTGGTGTCACACGTGCACAATATTTGAAAAAGAACTGTCGCTGTGTTTCTTTACCCTTAAAAAATCCTCTATACAACCTTTAACTTTTGGTCTTTCTTCTCTTAACAGTTGTGGATAAATTGTTCATGAAGAACGTTTCTCCTTTGTGGAGCTTGCTGGTTGAAGATGTATTTGTGACCTGAACAGTTGGTAGTGGCCAGTTGGGAGGCTGTGGGTCCTTTTAAAATTGGGACCAGTTTTGGAATCTGTTGATGTCGTTTGTTGATTGTTTTTGGAATAAAACTGCTGTGTAAAGAAACGGTCCTGGACTGTGGTTCTTACACTGATGCCTCCAAGACTCTCGGCCTCCCACAGATCCTCCCCCCTGACCTGTTTTCGTCTCGTTCCAGAGGAGGATACTACCCAGAACCAGACTATGATCCCGATACTCCCTACAGTCCGGATGGATCCAGGTTCAGTCCGGATGGGTCCAGGTTCAGTCCGGATGGTTCCAGCTTCAGTCCAGATGGTTCCAGCTTCAGTCCAGACGGGTCCAGGTTCAGTCCTGACGGGTCCAGCTTCAGTCCAGACGGGTCCAGGTTCAGTCCAGACGGGTCCAGGTTCAGTCCTGACGGGTCCAGGTTCAGTCCAGACGGGTCCAGGTTCAGTCCGGATGGATCCAGGTTCGGTTCGGACTCCAGGCCCTTCCTGGTCCCTCCTGATCCCAGATCCGAGGAGGCCTTCGAGGTCCAGACTCCGCCCGCTTCAGAACGGTTCTACCCCGAGACCAGAGAAGAGGACTGGAGTCGATTCCCCCCGTTCACCAGACCTGGACTGAGGAGGGTCTACGACAGTCAGTACTTCAGACCTGGTTCAGTCCTGTCCTAGTCCTGTTTTAGTCCTGTCTTAGTCCTGGTTTAGTCCTGTTTTAGTCCTGGTTTAGTCATGTCTTAGTCCTGGTTTAATCCTGTTTTAGTCCTGGTTTAGTCCTGTTTTAGTCCTGTCTTAGTCCTGTCTTAGTCCTGGTTTAGTTTTGTTTTAGTCCTGTTTTAGTCCTGTTTTAGTTGTGTTTTGGTCCTGGTTCAGTCGTGTTTTAGTCCTGGTTCAGTCCTGGTTCAGTCCTGTCTTAGTCCTGGTTTAGTTCTGTTTTAGTCGTGTTTTAGTCCTGGTTCAGTCGTGTTTTAGTCCTGGTTCAGTCGTGTTTTAGTCCTGGTTCAGTCCTGGTTCAGTCCGGTCTTAGTCCTGGTCTTGGTGTGTGCCAGGGCGGTTCGAGGCGGTGGAGGAGGACTGTGGGATCGCAGACGGTTGTGTGAACGGTCGCTGCATTCGCGTCGCCGAGGGTTACACCTGCGACTGTTACCATGGATACGAGCTGGACCTGACCTCCATGACCTGCACAGGTGAGACGATAAAGGTCCAAAGGTGCCGGACGGGTTCTGATGATTCTCTCATTTGGACTTTATCTGATGGGACAAAATCTGCTGTAAATATAAATTAGTGCTGTCAAAATTATCGTGTTTTAACGCACAAATTAACGCAAAACTATTTTAATGGCGTTAATTTTGTAATTGCAAGATTAACGCTGGTGTAACGTTAGAAAACTATAGGATCCGACTGTAAACCGTAAGTAAAACAATTTGTATGAAACTGAGGAGTCCCGGTTGGAGGAGGTGGACCAAAGCACGACACGGTTCTGAAGTCCCAGTGCGAGTGCGAAGAAACAAAGTATCATCAAACAAATCATCTGCATCACGACACAGAGAATCTGTGTTGCCTTGAACCTGCGTCGACTCATGTGCACCTCCCACATTTTATAACTACATGTTGAACCAGCAGGAGGAAGCGACGCAGACAATAAGAGCTGTGATTGGTCGTCTCTACATCGGCTCAACGTATATTTCCGGTTCTCCACTTTCCCTCTTCATTTTGTAAACATGGACGACATTTTAAAATCATCGTGTTGTGGTGGTGAATTACTTGGTGGTGCATCGACCTCGACGTAGATCCATAAATCTAAACCGACGGTGACAGCGGCAGAGTGTGCCGAATCGACACAGAACTATAAATCGGCCTTAAATGGAGATCACTGGACGCCCCTCAGTCATGAGAACAAACTCAGGTCATGGATCTATTAAAATAACTGGATATTGCTGCTTGTTTCTGCCTCCAGTTGACGTAGTGACTCTCACTGGAACTTCAGCAGAAAAAATCCCCGAGACAAGATTTTTCTCATAGAGGCAATTTAATCACAAACTGCTCGTGTTCGTCTGACAGGTTCCTACAGCTTTCAAAAATATCAGATTTGTTGGAGATTTTTACCTATTTTTAGATCATAAACTTTTTCTCAGCTCAAAATCCTTCAGTTGTCTTAAAAAACAGTTTATATTCGTTAGCTCCGGCTCCGCTCTAGCTCCTCTCGCTCTGATTGGTCAAAGTGATCACGTGACACACGAGCCGGCGCTCCGTGCGTGCGTGCGTTGTTGTTGCCGAAAAGATCCACAAAAGACCAAAAGACTCACTGCACAAAAGACTCCACTGCACAAAAGACTCCACTGCACAAAAGACACTGCACCACTGCACAAAGACTCACTGCACAAGACTCCACTCAAAAGACTCCACTGCAAAAAGACTCCACTGCACAAAAGACTCCACTGCACAAGACTGCACTGAAGACAAAAACTGCACTGCACAAAAGACTGCACAAAAGCACTGCACAAAAGACTGCACAAAGACTCTACTGCACAAAAAGACTCCACTGCACAAAAGACTCCACTGCACAAAAGACTCTACTGCACAAAAGACTCCACTGCACAAAAGACTCAACTGCACAAAAGACTCCACTGCACAAAAGACTCCACTGCACAAAAGACTCCACTGCACAAAAGACTCCACTGCACAAAAGACTCCACTGCACAAAAGACTCCACTGCACAAAAGACTCTACTGCACAAAAGACTCCACTGCACAAAAGACTCCACTGCACAAAAGACTCCACTGCACAAAGACTCCACTGCACAAAAGACTGCACAAAAGACTCCACTGCAAAAGACTCCACTGCACAAAAGACTCCACTGCACAAAAAGACTCCACTGCACAAAAGACTCCACAGACTCCAAGACTCCACTGCACAAAAGACTCCACTGCAGACTCCACTGCACAAAAGACTCTACTGCACAAAAGACTCCACTGCACAAAAGACTCCACTGCACAAAAGACTCCACTGCACAAAAACTGACTCACTGCACAAAAGACTCACTGCACAAAAACTGCACAAAAGACTCCACTGCACAAAAGACTCCACTGCACAAAAGACTCCACTGCACAAAAGACTCTACTGCACAAAAGACTCTACTGCACAAAAGACTCTACTGCACAAAAGACTCCACTGCACAAAAGACTCTACTGCACAAAAGACTCCACTGCACAAAAGACTCCACTGCACAAAAGACTCCACTGCACAAAAAACTGCACAAAAGACTCCACTGCACAAAAGACTCACTGCACAAAGACTCCACTGCACAAAAGACTCACTGCACAAAAGACTCTACTGCACAAAAGACTCTACTGCACAAAAACTGCACAAAAGACTCCACTGCACAAAAGACTCTACTGCACAAAAGACTCACTGCACAAAAGACTCCACTGCACACTGCACAAAACTGACTCCACTGCACAAAAGACTCCACTGCAAAAGACTCCACTGCACAAAAGACTCCACTGCACAAAAGACTGCACAAAAGACTCTACTGCACAAAAGACTCACTGCACAAAAGACTCTACTGCACAAAAGACTCCACTGCACTGCAAAAAAACTGACTCCACTGCACAAAAGACTCCACTGCACAAAGACTCCACTGCAAAAGACTCACTGCACAAAAGACCACTGCACAAAAGACTCCACTGCACAAAAGACTCCACTGCACAAAAGACTCCACTGCACAAAAGACTCCACTGCACAAAAGACTCCACTGCACAAAAGACTCCACTGCACAAAAGACTCCACTGCACAAAAGACTCCACTGCACAAAAGACTCTACTGCACAAAAGACTCTACTGCACAAAAGACTCCACTGCACAAAAAGACTCCACTGCCAAAAGACTCCACTGCAAAAGACTCCACTGCACAAAAGACTCCACTGCACAAAAGACTCCACTGCACAAAAGACTCCACTGCACAAAAGACTCTACTGCACAAAAGACTCCACTGCACAAAAGACTCCACTGCACAAAAGACTCCACTGCACAAAAGACTCCACTGCACAAAAGACTCCACTGCACAAAAGACTCTACTGCACAAAAGACTCCACTGCACAAAAGACTCCACTGCACAAAAGACTCCACTGCACAGGCTCAGTCGACCCACAGCCGCCGGAAGAACCTCGCCGGACTGAAGGCCAATCTGGGATCATGAGACACTGAGCTCAGCCCGTTGACTTGAATGGGCGGCCATTTTGGAACCTGGGGGCTTGCCTCAGGTCACAGGAGAAATACCTCAGGTCACAGGAGAAATACCTCAGGTCACAGGGTCAGGTCACAGGAGAAATACCTCAGGTCACAGGAGAAATACCTCAGGTCACAGGAGAAATACCTCAGGTCACAGGAGAAATACCTCAGGTCACAGGAGAAATACCTCAGGTCACAGGAGAAATACCTCAGGTCACAGGGAAATACCTCAGGTCACAGGGAGAAATACCTCAGGTCACAGGAGAAATACCTCAGGTCACAGGGGAAATACCTCAGGTCACAGGGGAAATACCTCAGGTCACAGGGGAAATACCTCAGGTCACAGGAGAAATACCTCAGGTCACAGGAGAAATACCTCAGGTCACAGCACATTGTTTCACCCACAGTGGAACTTCACTCCCTTTGACGTGTCCTGAAGACAGAAGCGACTCTTCACTCACTGTTTCACTTCTGTGTTGATGAGAGGATTAAAACTATGATTCAAGCGACAAAAATGTGAGATTCATTTGCAATGAATCTCAGGTTAAATATGACCTTCATGAGATTAATCACAATTCAATATTTCAATTGATTGACAACACTTATAAATCATAGTTTCACACAAATCAAGAAACAATTTATTTATGATTAAAATTACACAAAGTTAGAGTCTAAACTGGGGGGAAAGAAAACATTTTTAGCAAAACCTTAAATATAATGATGTTGTTTTAGTGAAATTGGAGACGTCCAAGTTGACACAGAAAAGCTCAAACAAAAGTGTCAACAGGTCGAGTCAAATCTGTGTCCTGCTCAGTGTGCCGGCCGGTCAGCCACAAGAGCAGCCAACCGCGTCCCACAGACTCCGGCCGTGACTGTTTTTTTTTTCGGTGTTTGTTGTGTTTCAGACGTGAACGAGTGCGAGGGCGGCGTGCGGCTGGAGTTCCCCTGCATCAACGCTCGCTGCGTGAACACGGAGGGATCGTACCGCTGCGTGTGTCGCCGCGGATACGTCCTGTCCAACCGCCCCAACTACTGCGTCTCCGCCTGAGCTACAGCGTCAACCTGAACCACAGCGTCAACCTGAACCACAGCGTCAACAGCGTCCGCCTGAACCACAGCGTCTCGACCTGAACCACAGCGTCAACCTGAACCACAGCGTCAACCTGAACCACAGCGTCAACCTGAACCACAGCCTCAACCTGAACCACAGCGTCAACCTGAACCACAGCGTCTCCACCTGAACCACAGCGTCAACCTGAACCACAGCGTCAACCTGAACCACAGCCTCAACCTGAACCACAGCGTCTCCACCTGAACCACAGCCTCAACCTGAACCACAGCGTCAACCTGAACCACAGCGCCCCCTACAGCATGAAGTCGCCCCCATCAAACACAAACCTAAACAAAAACTACATCAGTCGTTTGTGTTTCGTTTTTGCTGCAGGAAGTTTGGTTTGTGCCGTTTTAGTTTTGGAGATATTAATGATTCTTATTTAGGTCAAATTGGGGTCAGCGGCCTCCAGGAAACTTCAAAAAGCTCTAAAACGACACAAAATGGAGTCAGTCGTTTGCGTTTTGTTTTTGCTGTGTGCGATTTTGGTTTTTAAAATACGAACAGTTTTATTTTGGGTCGATGACGTCGTCCAGCCCCTCGAAATGTGAAACAGCCTCAAAACAGCAAAAAAATGATTCAAAACGTTTGTATTTCGCTTGTGCTGTTTTGTGTGTGACTGTTTTCATTTGTGCGAGTTTATTTCTAAAATTAATGAATTATTATTTATTT